CAATTTTGCAAACAGCAATGCAAATGAGCAGCATCACCCTTTATTAGCATGGGCTTAAATGTCTGCCCAATACTCCTCGAGCTCTGAGCCTGCAAACACTCTCTTACAGTTCAAGTTACTCAAATGAAATGCCAGAAATTACCAGGCCTGTTCAGGTGTAGGCCAGGCTGTGAGCAGGGACTGTGGTCAATCAGGACAGCAGAAAGCACCACACCATGGTCTTAACCAGTTTTTTTTGCCCAGTTCCACTTCTAAGCAAAACCAACACATAAAGCCAAGTGCTTTGCAGATTTCTGAGTGCTGATGCAGTACTCCTTCTCTCATCAAAATATCACTGTTGGATTTAGAAACTCTTGCCATATTCAATCAGGTACCTGCCTCTGCCAATAGGACGAAGGAAATGCAACCCAGATTTCAGCAGCAAATGAATCAGTAGATTCAAACCCTTAGGAGCTGAAGGTTTACACTTAACTGGAATATTAAAAATCAGTTCATCTCAATAAATAACATTTTTGGTAGCTTAGATAAACACATCTAGTGCATAGCTGAATTCATGTTGCTGTCATCAAACAGAGCTTTCAAAACATAACAAGCCCAGTGGATCAGCTGTGCCTTTGAAATCTGAAGAATAAGACAGGTTTTCAGATTTTATCAAACAAAATATGATAGATTAGGAAAACTATTAGATTACCTATCCCTGGAGGGTTTGTATGATAGTTTGCCAGTTCATCTCAAGTTTCTTAGGAAAAATATCAGCCTAAGGGTTTGTGGCACAACCGAAACACCGTGATGGAATCACTGCCCCCTCCTGCTCCATGAAACAGTCAGCTCTTCTGTCTCATCTTTTCACATCAAACCTCTCCAAATGGTGTATGAGCAAGAGATCTTTTGATTGGAAAAGCTGATACTGCATCTTGATCAGAAACAAGCACCACGAGCGCAAGCCTTCAAAAGCCAAAGCAACCAAGGACGATAATGGTAAATCCTGGAGTGATGATTAGGGAGAGATTGGACACTGTGCCGTTGATTGAGTGGTGATCCCAACCCACCACAGAAAAGCAGTGAAGTCAGTTTGAAACAGAGCAATAAAACTCACACTGTGACGGTAGAAGGGGTCAACTTTTGTAGGGTATTTGTCAAACTGCAAAGGGATCAAAGCACAAACTAGTTACTTGATATTTCCTGGCTTTACTTCTGTTGGCAAAATAGAAGACAAACTTCTCTATTGTTTGGCAACCAACAGAGAGGAAAAAATATGCAGAAAATTAAGTTTCCAATGAAACTGTTTGGGATTTTTCTTTCTTCAAAGTAAATCAAGAGACAGGAAAAGGGAAGAGGCACCAGAGTGCACACACTCCTCGTCCCTCAGCTCCCATCCTTCACCTGAACCGGGGCCTGTCACGAGGGAGGGACAGCCCTGCCTGTCCTGCCCAGGCACACCTGGGCAGCACAGGCCTCCTGCCCCACACCCTGGCAAATTCTTAACACTTTTCGTAATAAAGAATAGAGTTGTGCTCTACTTATCCTCACATTTCTGCCTGGGGTACGCACCATGGGCGGTGCTGGCGTCGGCATGATGGCAGTGGGTGGGATGGCGTGGGGGAAAGGCGTGAAGGTGTGCTGGTGTGTGTGTTGGTGTGTGTGCTGGTGCTGGTGCTGGTGCTGGTGGAACTCGGTCCTCAGGTAGGGCGGGGGGCCCAGGGAGGCCCCACGGTCCGCGCTCTGCGAGGCCAAAAACCGCGTGTTTAGTTCCTGACGGAGGAGATCTTGTTCTGAAACACAAACAACAAAACAACCCCCCCCGTGAGCTCTGGGGCTTTTCCACACGTTGTGCCACTTGTTCTGAAACACAAACAACAAAACAACCCCCCCATGAGCTCTGGGGCTTTTCCACACCTTGTGCCACTTGTTCTGAAACACAAACAACAAAACAACCCCCCTGTGAGCTCTGCGGCTTTTCCATACTTTGTGCCACTTCGCTGTCTGTGGCATCAGTGCTGTACTTAAAACCCTGTACAGGGTGAGAAAGCTCCCTCAGGTCTTCCCCTAAGGCCTGAGACATTTGAAAGTCTCCATTTCCCCTTTCTCACCAAGCCTGTTTTCACATTCCTCTGAGCATCAACCTGAGAGTTCTCCCTAAATTTGTATGGACATGAACACAGACCTAAATAGGTGAGGAGGTACGAGTAGGCTGGAGGAGCAAATGAGTGGCTGCTGCTCATATGAGTACCCTGATGTACAAACTGATGTTACTCAAATGTTGATATTCCTCTGTTTTCTTCCCCCACATCCTTCTCAGTGACCTGGTGAGGCCCTGACACAGGTTGCCCAGAGAAGCTGTGGCTGCCCCATCCCTGGAAGTGTCCAAGGTCAGGTTGGACGGGGCTTGGAGCAACCTAGGCTGGTGGAAGGTGTCCCTGCCCATGGCAGGGTGGTGGATCCAGATTAACATCCTTCCCACCCAAACCATTCCATGATTCCATGATCTCCCCACAGTCAAGGTATAAAAGAGCAGAGTTTTCTCCAGCGATAAGAATCTCTGCATCTTGCACAAACACAGGCTCAGCACCACTGTGTTCACAGCCACTGCAGACCCTCTCCCCAGCCAGGGAAGCAACGCTGGGCTCAGACCACAACTGCAGCAAAGACCTTCACCAAAGGGGTCACAGATTCTGTGGGGGTACACAGTGGTTGTACCATGGGTTGAACAAAAGAGACATGAAAAAAGCACAGCCTTCCGAAAATAGTCATTCCCAGGGCAGAGGAAAAGTCATTGGGTACGTCTGGGTGTTTTGGGGCTTTGATATGACTTAAAATCATCCAGCAGCAAGTACAGCCTCTCCCCAGCCTAAAACAACTACTCGGACTAAAACCAGAGAATTGGTCTCCTACACTGCACGAGACCCTCCGGGGCCACGACCCCTCTGGCTCTTACCTGAGTAAGTGCTACCAGCGGGGTGTCCTGGAACCTGCAGTGTCCCTGACGTCAGTGGAGGTGGAGGGGGCAGAGCCGTGGGAGGGGCAAACATATTGGGGTGGTGGGGGTGTGCTGGGGGCTGCAGGGTGGGCGTGAAGGTGTGCAGGGGGCTGTGGCTGGGCAGGGACAGCGGGAACGGGGAGGCCGAGGGGTGGTGGGATATGTGGGGAGGAGGGGCCTGAGTCTTGGCAGGAGTGCTGCTTCTGCTGCTGCTGTTAACGAGAAGAAAAGCAATTAGGCTTTGCATGGAGGGGAGGAAAGCTCCGAACACAGAATCCCCCCCCCAGCCCCCACATGGCTCACATTAAACACAGCACGGATGGAACTCATGGATTACAGATGCAGGTTACTATTCCCAGCCCCACCACTGTGATACTCCTTCCTCCCACCACCTGCTGGACCTTCTCTGGTATCTTTTACTTCTTTTGGTCTCTCCACACCAGCACTTAAGACATATTCTCCCTCTCTGTAGGAGGCTGGTATTCTGTCCCCCGACAACACAGGGATGACACACAAAGGAGTAATCAGCCCTGTGCATTCATTACTTAATTATCAGGTCCTTTCTACATGACTGCTTCTGATTCATGTTTTCAGGCAAATGGAGCTCAAATCAGTGATCACTGCATTAGTAAAAGTTTAATTTTTTGCAATGAATTAGTAAGATGAAAGACTGCAGAAAATGTGGAATGAAGTTGAGAAGGCAACAAAAGATATGTGCTTATTGTATAGATAATGCCTCTCTCTACCCCCACAATATAAAGAGATAAGACGAGTCAACAAAATAAGTATTTGTGATTACACTGGTTGCAATTTCTCAGGTTTCTTTTCCTACTGATGAGTATTTAAAATATATTCATGTAGGGCTGAATTCTACTTGTCTTTATTTCATGTAATGACATGTTCCTATTGCAGTGTCTTTTAAAGACAAGCAATACCAGCTTGGTTAAAAATAAATCCAAGTCTTAAACACCTCCATAGTCAAAACCATAGTGCTGGTTCACCAGGTCTTGAAGGTCACCATCTGCCTCAGATTTGGGGAATGACAACCTTGCTTGGAGTAGGGGAAACCTGAGGGTCCTGACTCCGAGAGACATCATGGGTTTCTGTGAATGTGTTGTTTAATCTCACTGCTCATCTTTAGAGGGGGATAACAAAAGGTGTGGCCGATCTCACTGTGGCCAGGTGAGAGAAAACCACTGCAGACTGCCAGGTGTCAGCAGTGCAGGAAACACGAAGCTGTGCAGTCCCTGGTGTGTGACTGGCGGTGCTGGGCTGTTTGCAGCTGCACCACGTTCCCTGCTCTAGGGCAGGGCAGTGCCTGGAGAAATCAGATGTTTACAGGGATGGCAGGGTTAAAGAGTCACCCTTCAGAGAGCAGCCCAGCCTGCAGGAACTGCCATTTTCTTCCCCTCGTGTATACTGTGTAAAATCCCCTCCAAAAGCCCAAGTATGACAGGCAGGAAAAGTAAAAGCTAATTTAAAAATACCCAGGGTTTATGGGATCGCCAGGTCAGACACAGAGTGATCCTGGCTCATCTCAGGGTAGGAGCTGAGGTTAAATGCACTAAGTCCCCTTTACTTCCCAGTGATGGGATGGGATGTGCTGCCACTCATCTCCTTTAGTTAATTCCCCTCCACTCCATCCAGGCTCAGCCCAGCGTCCCGCCCCAGCATCCCACCCCAGCACGGCTGCAGTGACCCAGACCCACGTCTCCATCCTCCTACCTTAGGCTGTTGAGGCTCAAGCTGCTGCTGTTGTAGGCGGAGAGGGGCTGGGCGAGGCTCTGTGCGGCGGGATGGGGCTGCACGGCGGGCAGGGCCGCGTGGGCCGGCGGCAGCGGCGACTGCGGCCGCGGCGGGTGCTGCCCGGGGGGGGGGCTGTGCCGAGGGGTGCTGTGCCGAGGGGTGCTGTGCCGAGGGGTGCTGTCCAGGGGGGTGCTGGGGAGCAGGGGCCCGGGAGGGCTCCTCGGGGGCCGGGGGCAGCGGCGCGGGCGGGGGCGGCGGGACGGGCAGCTCCGGGCGCGGGGCGAGCGCGGGGCTGGGGCAGCGAACCTCGGGCGGCTCGGGGTGAGGCTGGGCCAGCGGCTGCGCCGCCTGAGGGCAAGGGTCTTTAGGCACCACGGGCTCAAGGACGGGGTCTTTGCTGCTGTCCTGGCTCTTCTCTTGGCTCCTTTCTAATCCCGATATTTTGGGGACAGCCGGGCCCCGAGCACCAGGGTCGTCATTGTCAGCGGGCGGACCGACTCCTAACTCCTTATCTGCAACGACACAGAGACAGAAAGGGTTAAAACCAAGGTGGCAAAACCAGTCACACTCCGGGCAGTTCCATTGTTTTCGTCAAGAACCACCCATGACAACGTGAAACCAAATCAAACCCCTCTGCCTGTCCCCTCTTTCCAATAACCCTCCTCAGAACAAACCCCCTGGAAGAGAAGAGGGACCCTGTTTAGTGCTGCTGTTCTCTATCATTGTTACTCATCATCACTGACCTGCTGAGGGAACCAATGCCACCCGAGCTCTGGGCCTTATCACAGAAACATTAGGGTTGGAAAAGACCTTTAAGATCATCAATCACCAACCCAGCACCACCACCATGTTCACCACTAACCATGTCCTCAAGGGCCACATCCACATGTTTCTTGAACACTTCCAGGGATGATGACTCCACCACTGCCCTGGGCAGCCTGTGCCAGTATTGCCTGACCACTCTTTTAGTGAAGGAATTTTTCCCAATATCCAATCTAAACCTCCCCTGGTACAACTTGAGGCTGTGCCCTCTCATCCCATCCCTTGTTCCCTGGGAGCAGAGCCCGACACCCCCCTGGTTCCCCAGGGAGGGAGTTGCAGAGCCAGAAGGTCCCCCCTGAGCCTCCTTTTCTCCAGGCTGAGCCCTCCCCAGCTCCCTCAGACACTCAGACCCTTCAACATAACACAAGATCTAAATATTAAAACCCCGGCTCTTTTTGGTTGGCTGGTCATGGAATGACTTACTCCTATTTTCCAACTCTTTAATAATATTAATTAATTATTATAATGTTAACATTTGCTACAGTGGAGTTTTGCTCTTTGGGGCTCTACAGCAATTTCCCATTGGAATCACTCCCCAAACCTTCTGCCAGAGCATATCTGGTCCATGGCACCCCTTGGAATAAATTGAGGGAATGCTGCTGACCCAATACTGGAAAAGGTGATGTCTGAAGGAGAGGGGATCAGGAGCACCTTTTAGGGCTGTATCTCACAATAATTTGGAACAGCTGAACTTACACCTTCAGCAAATATGGAAGTGCAGCATACGGAAAACACAGAAGGTTTGAAGGGAGTTGGGACAAACCTATAATTAAAAAAGGATCCACTGTTCTAAAATAACCTTAAGACAGGAAAACTTTACTCCTTCTTCTGCCAGTTTCAAGGGGTAAAATGACTAAATGTGTAATAAAATACACATCCAGAGAAAATTGTTGACAGCTCCATTGTCCAAACCCTGAAGTAAAGGAGTGAAATAAAGAGGGAGGGGAGTGAACTCGCCCAGCCCGTAGCCCAGGCACACATGTTCTCCAACCATCATCACATCACTGGAGACAGCCTGGCAGATATGTGTCACAAACACAGCATCACTGGGGTTTCATTTAGTTAAGACATCAAAACAAACCCCGTCAGGCACCCTGTTACTGGTGGTTTACAGGTCCTGTGCAAAGGTAGCAGCAGAGGTTTTTCATACTTTGTAGACAGGAGATGGGGAAAAGAGGGTAAAGAGAGGCAAAAGGGAGGTTTAAGAGGATAAGAAAGAAGAAGGAAAGGGGAAAAAAGTAAGCAGACTTATTTGATGAGGACCTACTTATTTGATGAGGACCTACTTTAATCACTTCTGGAATATGTAACCTGTAACAGGCACAGAGGCTCCTCCACAAATTTGGATCAGAAGACTATGGAGGCAAGAGTGGGACTCGAGAGGGATAAAAATAATTACTGTGCCGTATGCTCAGGGTCTATCTCACTGCAATTAAAGTGCAGGTTCTAAATAAAGGAACTTCCCTTGCATTAATTGTTTAGATCAATCCTGTTTGATCAAACAATTTTAGAAATTAGACAGAGAGTGATTTGCACATGTGTGAATGCAGGTCCCCAAGGAGGAAAGAAGTGAGCACGTTTGTTCAGGAATAGGTGGATCTATGTTCTCAGTCCTTATAGGTGTAAGAGTTAAAAGTTTCTGTTTTGGTTTGGGGTTTTTTTAATACAATGGCATAATAATTAGGGCTTTGAGGGCTTAGCCTTGTCATTAGAAATCTCCTACTAGATGAATGAAGTAGGTGGTCTGGAAATCCTGCACAGGTGATACTTCCAAATCTACAGGGAACACCTTGCACTGAGTGCATTCATTAAATCCTTTCACTTGGTATTTTTAGCCCCTCTCATGTGTGGAACATTTATTCAGCACAGCTCTGTGCTGAGGATCTGCTCCTCATGCTCCTCCTCCGCAGGAGAAAAGGCTTGGGAATGCCACTGTCTCCTGGGGATCTTTTGCTGCTGCTCACATCTTCATTACACAGCACCCAAGTACCATTCCTGGGAGTCTGCACTTAGATGATAAGATGCTCTGTGTAGTGAGATAATGTTGTTCCAAATGTCTCACACCAAATGTGCCCGTGGTTTCTCCCTCTCCCTGTCTAACCCCCCTGCACCCACACAGTCCCCCAACGCAGGGTCAGCTGTCCAGGAGTCTCTCTAACCCCAGTAACCCAGTGCACACGTCCCTGCATGGGTGATAATTATGATGCATAAATCACAACTTTCTCATGCCACAGTATCTCTTTGGGGAGCTGAAATCTGCCCTCAGTGATGAACATCACCAGTTACAAGTACTTGGACTCCCAGTTCTCCCAGCACTCACTGATGGAGCACATTTTGTCTAAATGAGTGGCATCCTCAACCTCACCAGGGCTGCCCATGGCACTGACCAGGCTCCCCAGGGCAGTGGGCACGGCTCCAAACCTGCCAGAGCTCCAGGAGAGTTTGGAACACTCTCTGGGACAGGGTGGGGCTGTTGGGGTGTCTGTGCAGGGCCAGGAGCTGGACTGGATGATCCTTGTGGGTCCCTCCAGCTCAGGATATTCTGTGATTCTGTGTTTCATAAGGAGAGCTCGAGTCTTTATCAACAGCACTTCAGGGTTACGCAGACAAGATTAGGCTTTTTCTATCAGTACATCCTGACTAAGAGGCAGTATGAGAGCTATGGGGAAAAAAACCCTTTATGTCACTGTGACACAGACAAGCCAACCTTCTGAGTTTGTTTATCATCATAGGAATTCATCTCCACCCAAGAGCTAAGGAAGCACCAAGTGCACTTTCTTTGCTGGCAGCCTCCACACTCTGTTTTGGATGAAGTGGAATCACTGCATCGTTATTCAGGAGAGCAGGAACTGTGATGTAACTTCCATGGCCTCCCCCTCCCCACTGGGTTGAACCTGCATGCAGCAGCAGTCACTCTTTTACTGAAAAAGGAATAAAGCCACAATGTGATGCTGAGGACCGAGGAACATTGGCTTAGCTTGTCCCACCCACACAGGATATGCAGCTTCCATTGTCTTCCTTTCCTGTGCCACTTGATGTGTCTTACATTTCAAATTCCTCTGTTTTTCACTTAGCACAGGCAAATTGGGGATGTCTCAAGAGGAAGGACTCCCAGTAGCCTCCATGAAACCCTGCAGTGTGTGTGATTCTTACTGCATTGGCTCTATTACACTTCCCTGCAGAGCCACGGCTTTGTATAATAAGCACACATTATATGCAGCTTTCCATCGTTGCCTTTCTTCCTAATGTGCAAACCAGTAAAATTTGCCCCAAACTCCACGTTCTGGCTCCTTTGTACCATCTGGATGGTCCCAAAAAGCCAGAGGAAGGCCAGGGTGGCCAGTTGAAACATCACAGCCACAGATGATGCCCAGCTGTGCTTCTGCTGACACAAAGGCCCCATCAGAATTCGCCAAATTTGAAAATCCCAGAGATTCACTGATACAGAACACCCTCATTTTGCCTGGTCAAGTGTTGCTTGCAATGGGTTCACCATGTCTGGTTGCACAGGAGATGCCAAGAGCCAGCACAGGGCATTCCATGATGAGAGTTGAGGCCCCTGGGCAGTCTCAGTGGCAGCCAAGGACATGTGACCTGGGCATCCCTGCCCTGCCCTGCCAGGACCTGGGGAATGAAACCTCCTCAGGACACGTCCTGCTGTCAACTTACAGTGGCCAAGCTTTCTTTCTGAACATAAAATCATCCAACTTTTCCATGTCCAGGTCTGGAGTGTCATCCAGAAACTGGGCTGTATCATATCCTGTCACTCCTCCCTCTGCCTGCATCAGGATTCAGCCTCTCCACGTCTGGCCTGGGAGCCTTCAGGCATCTTCAGAGAGCTTTTCAGAAACAGCACTAAATTTTCCACTTTCCTGAGAGGAAAGTTTTGAATTAAGCTCAAAGACATTATTGCACAAGTAAGAAAATTACAGGAATTTTCAGTGTTTTCAGCATTATCTCTGGGACTGAGCATTCAGCCTACCAAAGAAAGATTTTATACCATTATTTAATTTAAAAATAGTATTAATTTTCTTTTTCTACTTTGCTAAGTTGAACTCTTCTCTTGAGAACACTGCCTCTGCTTCACTAAAGTTTTCTGCAAACTTCTTAATGCAAGATTAAAAACATATATCTTTCAAAAATAGAAAAACTCTTTTCTCCAGCTTTACCACGGACAAGTGTGGAGTTGGTGCAAACTGTCACAGCAAATACAAGCCCCTAGAAGATCTCTGGAGTCATGGAGTGCAGGAAAGATCTACCCCACAGACCACCAGCCCTGGGAGGTTCACCTCAGCAAGCACTTTACAAGGCCTGAAACAATTAATCAGGTTGAAGACCTTTCATCTTGATTAGACATTGGTCAGTGCAACACTGGGATGAACAGGGGCAGGTGGCAGGAGCTGTTGGGTGCACCAGCCAACAAGGACCACACAGGCCCCAGAGGGATTCAGCTGCTCCACTGGATACACATAATTTGCTAGAAACAATTTCTCATTTTTAGCACACAGTCATCTTTCATCCTAATTTCCAAGGACACTAACAAAGCATTTGATTATGCAAATGAAGAAGATGCCTTGGAAAGCACGGTTACTGCAGCTCTGTCATCTGCTGATAGCAATTACTCCCCAGTAAGCAGGTATTTAGTACAAGTGAACAGCAAGGCTGGTGACACACTTTGCACTTAATTATA